GGGCCCTTCCCTCCACAGTAGGACTGAGCTGCTGGTGAGGGCCGGTGTCCTCACCGCTCAGGTGACCTCTAGATCAGCAACACCAGCCCCACCTGTTAGAGATGTGAGATCCAGGGGCGCCCGGGCAGCTCAGGGGCTTAAGCGTCCAACTGCTGATTTCGGCTCAGGTCATGATCTCACGGTTCGTGGGGCTGAGCCCCGCGGCCAGCTCTGAGCTGGGTGCGGAGCCTGCTTGGGATTCTCTGTCTTCCTTTCTCTCTGTCCCTCCCCCACTCTCTTGCTCACTCTCTCTCAAAGATAAATAAATAAACATTGAAAAAAAAGTGAAATCCAGAGTTCTGGGTTCACCAGGTGACTCCCACCCCAAACGTCCACTGGAACCAGCACGGTCCATTCCTCAGGAGAGCTTCCCCAGGCCCTAGGCCTGGGCTCCGTCCAGAGGAGGCCCTGACAAAGCCGTGTGAACAGGGTGGGGTGACGTTGCCTGTTGACGGTAGATGGATGGAGCCCTGCTTCCACCATTGTGGCCAGGGACAAGTCGCCTCATCTCTCTGAGCCTTGGCTTCCTCTTCTGCAGAGTGGCCCCAATGATCCTGTGGTCGCCAAGGGAGAGCATACCAATGTCCCCCATGATGTCTCAGAAGGCCACCGGAAACAGAAGCAGGGCACGGGAGGGTGTCAGCCAGGTGGCAGTCTCCTTCCCCAGGCACAGAAGACAGGCCAGAAGTTATGGGAGAGCTGTCCAGAGGGGGGCCTGAGCTCCAAGATGCCCCTCCAGCTGGGGCCCGACACAGCTCCGCCCCAGAGCCCCCATCCATCCTTCTCCGGTGGCAGCCCAGGTAAAGAAAGGGGAGCCTGTGTGGCCGTAGGTAGGAGGCTGTCCCCAGGGCCACCATGGGAGGGGAGTGGAGACGGAGTCCAGATGGGAGGCTTGGGTACTTTAGCGGTTACTCCCCGAAGCTCGGCCCCTGGGCTGGTGGACGCCAGGAGCAGGCCTGCTCTTCCTAAGTGTGCTCGTGACGGGCAGTCCGCTGGCTCTGAAGGCTGGCCCTGCCACTAACCAGCTGTGTGGCCACCCCAGTTATCTAATGGTGCTTAGCAAATCGCCTCCAAACATAGTGGTTCAAACAATGTCAACATTTACTTTGCTCCTGCACCTGCAGTCTGGTCAGGGGCGGATGGGGACAGCCGTTGGGCTGAGGCAGAGGCACCCGGCAGGCCCAGAGCTGGAACTTCGGGAGGTTGGCTTGCCTACCCATCCCCTGGCTGGCGCCGGGGCCCCTCAGACTCTGCTCTCTGCCTCCAGTGGTCCCTCCAGCACGGTGGCTTCGGGGCAGCTCCGGGCTGCTGGGACACTGGCCCTCAGAGAAGTCAGAAGTCACACGGGCCGGCCCATATTCAATTCAATTGAACTCCATCTTTTGCGTGAGCCGGAGTCAAGGAATCCGCAAACTTGCTCTAAGATCATGAAGAGTAACCTGGGGCAAATTATTTCACTCTCAGTGCTTCCACTTTTTTGTTCTCATCCGCAAAACATGGGATGCGTTAGCTTGTTACGGCTGCTTTCTACAAAACCACAGGCTTAGTGGTTTAAAGCCACACGAACGGGTTATCCTTTGGTTCCACGGCTCCACGGTCTGACCCGGGTCTCAAAGGCTGAAATTGAAGTGTGGGGAGGGCTGCGTTCCTTTCTGGAAGCTCTGCGGGGGAGTGCTGTTCCTCGCCTTTTCCGGCTTCCGATGGCCGCCCACCGGTGTTCCTTGGCCCGGGGGCCCCCTCCTCCTCCTTCAAGGCCAACAGGAGCAGGTCAGGTTCTCAGGGCAAAGGTTCTTAGGGCCCCCCACCTGGAAGGGCCCTTGCGATTCCGTTGGGCCCATGCGGGTAGCCCAGATCACCTCTCACCTTGCACCCCAAAGCCCGCCTGCAGCTTTAACTTCTCTCCGCGTGTAAGGTGCTCCGGATTCTGGGGTTTAAGGCGCGGGCAGCTTCGGGAAGTCATTCATCTGCTTGTCACAGCAGGCTTGTTGACAGGGTGGCACAGGTGACATACTTAGATAAGTGCCTGGCACACAGGCGTGCTCAGTAGGTGCCACTGTCTTTACTCGTGCATGAGGAGAGGCCCGGTCCAGCCTCCTCATTATACAGATGATAGAGAGGGTTGAAGCCCAGAGAGGGAGGACAGCTTGCTCAGAGCCACACAGCAAGTCGAGGAGGGACTGCTTCCCTCCGGTACCGCGAGGACCCCCAGTCGGCCCAGATCCGCCTGGAGGACCCCATGTGATGTGCGGGGCGCGCGTCTCCCTGGCCACAGATCCTGCAGCTCCTGAAGGGCAAGCTGGTGGTGGGCCACGACCTGAAGCACGACTTCCAGGCGCTGAAGGAGAACATGAACGACTACTCCGTTTATGACACGTCGGTGGACAGGCTGCTGTGGCGGGAGGCCGGCCTGCAGGACTGCGAGCGCGTCTCCCTCCGCGTGCTCAGCGAGCGCCTCCTCGGCCGGCGCATCCAGGTGAGCACCTGCCTCCTTTGTGGGGGGGGCTGGCCCCACCCCCCAGGGCCCGCGCCCACCACCCCCAGGGGCTCCAGAACCAGCACTGGACCCCGAAGGCGCTCTGCGTCTCCCCCACAGCCTTGGGAGGCCGTGTGCTTGCCAGCGAGGAGGGGCGCTGGCCTCGGGGTTCCCCAGCAGCCGGCCCTGGACGAGGAC